AAAAGAAGAGTAAATAACTGAGCGCTTTCGTTTTTATTTTTTCAATATCATGTTTGCAAAAAAATATATTTAAAATTGAAAAACAAAAATGTAATACGATTTAAGTTGGTACCATTAAATTAAAACCATCATATAGTAAAGTTACTATTACTCTATGTTTAAATTAAAACTCTAATAGGTAGTTCACTTTGTAGATTCTTAGTGAAGGTATGAAACAGTATTGGCTCACGGGATTCTAAGAATGTGAGGCACAAATATTTTACCATCTTCCAGTCGGTTGTAGAACACTTAGTGCTGTCACCAAGAAAAAATTAAAGCCGTGGAAAGTTTACACTATTTCAGATAGTAGTAAAATGTACATATCACATAATTTGTGATAAAACATAGGTAGTTTAGAGTTAACAGACATAAATAAAAATAGTAAAATGTGACTTGGTGAGGCGCGGTCGTACGCTCAATCTGCGGAAACGCACTGAGCGTATACGTACCGGCCGCAGTTGCTAGCTCCCGGATAGGTGACCACCGGGGGTTTTAACAACATATCCTTGCCACACATACTCAATCACGTGTTACAACCCTACCCACTTAAAAACCTACAAACAAATATACAAAAATAACCCCTACCGTACCACCCCACACCCAATGGCCTATGTTGCCGCGGGTTCCCCTGAAAAAAATATAGTAAAATAATAAATATATAAAATAATAAAAAAATGCGTGCTATGTACACTGTACAGGCTTCATGAATTTTCTTCAAATCCGGTTCGAACTCTTTTGATGAGTTATAGACATAAGAATTTAATTTTTTGATCCTCTAAAAATTACAATAGCTTGAATTTTCAGATTTTATATTTTATCACTCGAATAGTGGTTATAATCAGTCCATTTTGTAAATAATTCATACTATGRCATACATAAATAAAAATATTTAAAAAAAATKATTAATATGATTTATAAGTACCTATTATAACTCAWTAGTTCATAAAAGTTTGTTGTAACTTTACTTGTACAAGTCACTTTTAAATACTTCCAACTAGTTTTAAATACTATCCAACCGTTCTTCCTTGCAGCGGAGGATTGTCCTACATTTGTTTGATTTTTCCTAAGTTCATCAATACTGTAAACTTATTTTAGGACAATCCTACATATACGTACCTAAATTTTACAAAAATTCGTATTTATATTTCATTATTATTATTATTTTTTTAATTTTATCAATTTATTATTTATTAATTCTACTATCTATATACCACAGTGTCCTTGAAATTCTAGATATAGACATATTGAATTTTCTTTATATCATCATAATATAATAATTATTATCTATTTRATAGTATACCATTATACGTATTCTGTATGATTTAAGATAGTATTATCTTTTATTAGATATTTTTGTAAGTTATCGTTAAATYATAACTGTTGCGTGTTGGTTGCAGTATTGCTTACTTAACTATGCAGAGCCATTAGCTATGGCCAATGGCCTGGGAATGGAAATTGTTWATAAGTTAACCAGTATAATAATTAGTAATTACCATATACCGGTGGTCTTATAATTATTTTTTTCACCCCCCTCCACTCACCAACCACTAACAAAATCTTGGCTATGCTCATAAACTATGGTATAAATTGGATATGAAAAAAATTGTCCTCACTTTGAAGGTTGACAACCCTACTTCAAACGAATATTTTTTTTATTTATTCTCAAAATTCCATAGTCATACGCATACCCATATTTAAACAGTTTTGGAYTTAGTTTTGTAGTTAAGTTTTGATTCATAGTGTATTTTAGGGTGTAAATAGTTAATATTTTCTACTGATCTACCGTGTCACCAAACGCGATCACGATTCGCGATATAAAGTTTCTAGCAATTTAATTTTATCTTATCTTGTAAAATATATTTACCGGTTTATTTATATGCTGTACAAAGTGCCCGCGATCGATTTTTACCAATTTATTTTCACCATATTAGTGTCCGCGATATGCAACTTATAAGTTATAAACAATAGACAGTACAAAATGACGTCCGTTTACTCTTCCAGTTAACCTCTCCTCTAATTCCTAATGTTTCTAAAACTTATTGATTTTCTGCTGATTGTGTAATATTGTAAATTATTAAAAGAAAAATGTTAAACATAATATGCTTTATAAATAGGTACCTACAATTAATTAAAATAAAATAAAGTCTTAAATAACAGTAAAAATAAAAATAAAATTGTGCTCACAACAGTATTATATATTTATATGAGAATAATATTATGTTACATAGTTTTCATACTCGACCATTATAAATTTATAATCATGTGGAAAAATAATATGAGGAAAGGCCGAAGACGGCTGATGATAATATTCCCAAATAAAAATAGAACTCTACCATGTAATTCTTGCCGACAAGTGGTGACCTGCTACTTGCGTACGATTTTATACAGTACATCGAACACAGCGGGCCGCACTCCGCACATTGACAAATGTTAAAATCGTATTATACAGAGTTGATCATGTCTCGATACATCACATATTCACGTCTAATAGAATTTAAATAATTCTCAGTTTTACCTACAATTTTAATTAAATTTATGTTTTTCCTTTTTATTCAAAATGTTGGGTAGGGTACCGGAGACTCTGAGCACGTGCCCGTGTCTCGTGCGCACCTTAGTACGAGCTGCCACTGTAGGAATGTATTGAATTTACAATTATTATTGTATATTTTTTTTTGTCTGATTTTTAACTTTGAATATAGTTTCTGGTGGCTAATTAAATCTAGCTAATAACCTACTGTGAGGATCAAAAGTAAAAAATTCTCAATACTTTTCAAAGTAATTTATAAAACGAGTATAGAAATAACATAATATTATGTTGATAAATGTACCTTTTTGATAATAATAATATTAATAATACCATTGATTATGGAATAGTCTATTCTATAATCAATGGTAATACAAATAMTAAAATATTTATACTTTCAAGTTTCAGGTTATCGCCTATCGAGTGAAGTTAAATAATATTAAATAAATTGATATAGCTTGGTATCTGTTTCCATTAAAATATAATATAATAGTAGAGATTCAGTATTTTAACAATTTGAATGTTTGTGGAAAGCTTTTAAATTAAATTATATTTTTAATTTCTTGAATGGATTATAAATTTATGAGTTCATGTTGAATTAATTTTAATAAAACTAATATTTATTATGAGTCAATTACATTGTCGATAAATTGGGAGTCTGGGCTCGGCTCACAGCTCGCAACTCGTTTAATTGTAATTGTATTTTAATTGTGTATTGTAATAATTGATAATAATAATAATAAAACCGAAAATAATAAATTACAAAATGTCGGTAACGTGAACGTGACAACGTCACATAAAATATTCAATGTTCAATCGCGTTGCTAAAAAGATATAACGCGATCGTGTTTTACAGGAATCAGCACGTGGTTTTTTTTTTTTTATAATAATATAATACGTTGGGAATAAAAATAAATGATAAATCGTATTTTAAAATACGTGCTATTTTTATAAGATATTGTAGTTGTATTAATGTATTACTTRTGGTTTTTTTTTTTAAATTTAATTTAAATTTAAATCTTCACTTAAATTTTGTTTAATCCGTGTAAATTAATTGTAAATATTGCGCCGTTTTGACAATAATATATCGCAGTAATAAAATATCTTCGGAGGGGTATTCGAATCGGTTTTTTTTAAATAAACTTAATAAAATCCAACTACATTTCGCCTGWTAATAGGAGCACCTTTCTACATCTCCAAATACACCCCGATCATATGAGTCCATATGTAGAACTTTATTTACTTTCTATAAATGAACCTGGAGTCCGAACTTTTTTAGCCTACCACATAAACCACTAATTACTCATTAGAATCCTCAACTCAAATAACACACTCGGAAATCCGCCTARGTGGTTAGATAATCCTAATCGGTTCGATCAGACCAGACCACACAGTATGATGGAATTAAAAAAGATAGATTTAACCTGTACACAATCTATTTAATCTAAACTATATTCCCGATAAAAAATTAGAACTCCTTAAATCCATTAAGCTCCTTTGATTGCCCGCGATAATTATACATAATTTAGGCAGACTTTGGTGTACCTACATTATACCTGCTAATTGCTTTATCTGTGAATATTATTATTATTCATTGATAAACCTGTGCATAATTATCCGTTGCAGGCAATTTGAAGCACATCAGTAACTTGAAACCGTGGTATCTGTACGACGTGTTGACAGAGAAATACGAATGGAACACGAAGGAGGCCAAAGCATTCTCATCGTTTCTAACACCAATGTTGGACTTGGATCAGGATAATCGAGCTTCGGCGACCCAATGTCTCTTAAACCCGTGGATGTTGGCATAACGTATTCGTCATTCGATTAAAAATTATTATATTATCATAAATAGGTAGTTATAGTGAAATTTCCATTATTATATATTATACATTGTGTGCTTACGAGTTTTTCAGTTTTAAACCAATCCGAAAACAAATGATTACAACACAAACACATAAACACACTACACACATATATATGTTTAATATAATCAGTCAAATAGTACAAACTGTATAAGCTCGTATGTATACTGTGTTTATTTAACACCAATATTATGTTATGTTTAAAATGTTGTAATATAGGTAGAATATACATGTGTATCGAATATGACTGAGGATTTTTTTTACGATCAACAAAGTAAGATGGACATTGTTAGATTTTGTCTTTTGCCCAACTTT